TGATCATATAGCTATAGAAGTCCTCAGGAATGACAGATCGAAACTCAGCGTTCGTCAATCCGAACGGCGGAGTGCGTTAAAAAAAAAATACAAGAGCTCGTCTCCTCCGTTATAGATACTACTGATCACAAGCAGGTAAACAAGGTGACATAGACATGCAAATGTTCACTACTAATTTCATCTAATAATTTGACTCATTTTAATTATTTTGAAAAAGGTGATGACTTTAATGTTCCCAATCATCTAGTCGGATGGGAATGGTGGCGATGAACAAAGAGAGCCAACTCTACGCCGTTCCCATGTGATTTGGACGTGGCGGCCGACGATTTTGAGATAGAGTCAAAACCACAGGCAGAACCGGAGTCCCAGCCACAGCCACAGTCACAGCTTCCACTGCCACTAGCGCTGCCAAACATGAAGAACGAGGAGCTGGACGCCGGAGCTCCAAGCACTGTTTCTGGAGGCCTTGAGTTTACTTGGAGGTCCTGAAGGTGAGGCTAATGAGTTGTGACAATATGTTCATAGAAATATTTGAGTAATTCTTTATGGTGGGATATGATATCTAGTACTGCAAGTTTTTTGCTTGATACTAATATGTAGTTTGTTTATGAGCTTATTGTTGAGCAGAGGCAACTCCAAAGCAAATACAAGTTGTCATGCAGGTCGATGGGCTAACCAACGACCAAGTCAAGAGTCATCGATCTGCAGGTTGGTTTGAAACTCTGAATACATATATATTTTTGTTTTTGTTTTTGTTTCAATGCAAGTGATATTAGGAGATGAGAGATTCGAACACAAGACTTCAGATATAGGAATAACCGCTAGAGACCCAGATAAAACTTTAACTTGCCCGATGAAACAGTGTCAGTGCAAACAAACCAACTAGTTAGGTCATTTACCCCCAGCCCAGGTCCTGAAATCATGTGAAGTTCATCGTCTACTTATATTATATCAGGTAAATTAGTAATATTATGCAATTGTGCAATCGTCCCACATAAAACTGACTTTGACCTCATTGATGATAGATGTAGTACTGAATCTCATGGAAAAAATATATATCCTCTTTGTGGTTTTTGCAGAAGTACAGACTTATCAACCGAGGAGTCAAACGAACTGCTGCCACGAGTGGCCAAAGGGCACCCCATTTCTACAGGGACTATTGGCAGCAACAACAGCAGCTCGAAGGTGCAAGCAACAAAAGGCATTGGTGTTGGTTAAAGTGGGGTTAGGATATTTAAAGTATTACTTTTCTTTTTTTTGTGGCCGTTGTGGGATTCAACAGGAGTAAGAGTTGGAGTTGGGTCGTCTTCAAACGGTGGCGGTAGAAGCAGGGAAAACAAGAAAGTAAAATGAAGTTGGTAATTAGGTGATAATACAAGATCCGCCAGCACCGTTTTTTGTTTCTTTGTGAGCCCAAAAAAGAGGGGCATGCTCACAAAGATGTTTCTTTTTTAGTACTTAGAACTTGAAAGATGTTTTGCAATTGTTTTTTGGTATTACAAATATGTTGTATTTCTTTGGTTGAAACAAATATGTTGTATTTCATGTGTATTACTGTGATAGATAATTTCTAACTAACATATCTCAAATTGGAAGAATGACTTATATGACTTTGCTACACTATTACGGTGGTGTCCCATGCAATTATAATAATGACAATTTAAGTTTTTGTTCTTATTTTTTTTTTGCACAGAACGTCATATGACAATGTATCCATACTATATAAGTTGTTTCTCTTAACTAGTGAATAAATTTTCAAATTGGCATTGCCAACAAAGTGTATGCACATCAAATCAGTTTCCGATTTCGACAGAAGGTCTGCGGCTTTGTCTGCACGAAACAAAACCCTAGGCCCACTAAGGTCAATGTGGAGTCTTTTGGGGTTATGTTGTGCAAGGACTTGAGGGGCGTACGTAACGGCCTCAATGTCGGAGTACAGCAACCAGCGGGTGAGGGGTAAGGCGACGCAACATATCATGGCCCGTACTTGTAGAGGTGAAATTGGTGGTGGTAATAGTGGAGGGTTGGGAAGCATGAGAATTTAGGAAGGTCAAATCATCAAGGGGAAGAGAGGCGAAGTAGCCACCATAAAGTGATTAGTGTCAAGGTGAAGAACAGTTTTCCCGGTAGTAGTAGTTGCGGTGGCTATCACTGATCCAGGGAGGCCCGTTTAATAAAGGTCAAAGTTAGTAGGCTTAATTGGACCATCGTCATTAAAGAGTTTATTCATAGCTTTTGGGGAAGGGTTGAAGACTCCGTTAAGATTCCTTCCTTTGCAAGGAAGGTCCCTATAGATAGAGAGAATGGACTTGCAGACTACAAATTTGCTTGAAGTTGGACTAGCAAGTAGTGTGTCTCAGCACGATAATATTCATCATACAAACCAAACCACCTACAAAAAAATTCATAAAATATTAAAACTTGATGAGTATATTTTATATTATATATTTAACCCTATTCTTAGTATATTTTGGTTAATATTTTGGAAGAATTTTGATACTTTGAATTGTATTTTCAATATAGAACTTTCGACTTCCTTTGAAGCAAAATATAATCAAATGGACGAATTTTGGAGCAATTCCAATTGGAAGAGTTCGTGAGTCACTTAGGTCGATGGTGTCAAAATATTAGATTTTTCCACTAAACAATTATTTTCTGGTGATAGAATAAATGAGCAATGTGCAGTGCTGAAATAGTGACATTTTGGGCTTAAATTGCATTTTTGGAGCCCAAACTGACCTATGATGGGTTCATGGCCTTCTAGAGATGTGTTTAGAACGTCCTCATTTTCAAAAAAAAAAGCAATCATGGACTGGATTTGGAGGATATTTGAGGCTAAAACGTGGATGGACAAATACTTGGCATATTCTCCTAGTTTAATTAGGACTTTATTTTCTAAGTTATTTTATTATTATTTAGTTTCCTAATTAGAACAAAAGACTACAATTTAGGTTTGTGCGATGGCATAGCAGCATATATTGCTTTGCCGTTCTCACTTTTACGTACGCTTTCTTTTATGCAACTTTGGCGACAGAGAGTAATTGTTAGGCTTCAGATTTTCTACTTTAAGGTGTTTTCATTCATTTTCTTCTTAATAATATTTTCTATGATTTTAATTATGAATATGCGTAACTAATTGTTTTGCTAGGGCGAAGCCTTGAGCCTTAGCATGAATATGTAATTTTTATTTAATTGCTTATGATTGATTGCATGCAAGCGTTGAATTATTAATCACCGTGATTAAAACTATCTAATTGTCTTAATGCCTGATCACCATTATGATCTTTAGAAAAGTAATTTGATGCAATTTTGGTCGGAATGTTCCCTGAAATTGACGTTGGCTTCTTGTGGCTAATTATTGGAATTCACTTAGGATGAACACCACGTCTTAAGGGTTGCATGATTTTTCAAAGGGTTTTCATAAGCACAATGAGTCTCTCATGTTCAGATTTGATCCGACCGTCCAAACGGGTTGCATGTTAGATAGACGTTCTATGTTGGAGGTTCCAAGTAGAATATAAATTAGGAAAACCTAACTTTCAAAGTGGCATGTGTAGATCATAAGTAATTGGTAAAAATGCATAGATTGTTAGGTGATGGTGGAACTCTAGTGCTTTTATAAATTGGTATTTAAAACTTTTTTTGTTTTATCATATTATTTTTAATTAAAATTCGTTTTTAATATTATCCAATTCCAATATCTCTTTTCTCAAATTTTAATTCTAAGTAGTTAATTAGGAATTGTTTCCACATAAATTATTCAAATAGTCATTGAGGAGAACGATCTTGCATGAGCATCTATACTACAATATCCTTATATTCTTGCAAGTATAAATCGCTATCAAAACTCAGTGTTAAATTGTTAATAATATTTGCGGAAAGTAAGCATAAAATTTATATATGGGTACTTATTAAGTTTAAATCATAACAGGTGGCTAAGGTTATGATGAAATTTTTTTTTCACCAAAAGGAGAATAATTTTGTGAAAACAATCCAAAACCATAGTAACTAGTCACTAACTTATTCTCCAAAACCTAAACCCTAAACATTTTTTTTTCACAAAACTATTACCCCGCTACTCGGTTGAAATAGGAGTTGAAGTAGATCGAACTCGATGGAAACAAGAAAGGTATGTGATACGGCTCGTCGCGCTCAAAGAAGACAACCTAATTATGCAACGTTGTCCTTTCAGAGATATTTTTGGTGTACCGGGAACACGGCTCACATAACTTTCATAATACAAGTGATTGAAATTTTTTTTTCAAGTATCCAATTACTTATATTATGACACTTAATGTACCAAACCGTTTTCTTGTCATATTGAAAAATTTATCGTTGTACCGGGCTTAACCTCACAATAGGCTAGCAATAATGTGGTTCAAATTTGCCTTTGGTGAGAATTAATACTAAGACCCCTCACTTATAACTGAAAAGGAATATCACTAGACCATACTACTAATTAAGTGGCTAATAATTGAGATAATATATTATGTTTATCTCTGAATCTGCTCTTTTATCTTGAAAGTTTGAGTTTCTACGATATAATTAATTATATGATGTATTGTATCGCCGTATTTGTATTTGTCTATAAACGACACATGGCTTGATTGACCGTATCTTAAGCTTTTCTTATTTTAAACTGCTGCTATGTATATACACCCTGATCGCTTGCTTCAAGTTTTCTTTCATTTTTGTTTCCTTCCCTTGTATGTGTTTTGAAGAAGTTCAGGCATCCTCAAAGGGTCAGTTTTTATTCTTCGTTTGGAGAGTCAGGTTTTTTGTTTGTTTGGAGAATGATGTTAGTAGTTGAAATGCATGTACGGTTCAAAATTTATGATATAATCGCACATGTACGATTAGCAGTTAAATTCTCTTACATACAAGGAGTCTAGCTAGTAGTATATATTATGAAAATAGTAAGGCAAATTCTCATTACAAATAAGGATCCTAGACAAAGTAAATAAAAGTCTGTCAGATGATAGTTAAAAAAACACAAACCCTTCTATGTAAAACATATATATTCTTCTGATAATTGCACAACCAACCATACAAGAATTTTAACATAATTAAAAACTTAAACCAACATGTAACACCTTATTTGAAAATTAATTATACATGATTCGTAGTTAAATCTATTAATTAGGTTAGATCAAGGTGAAGTGCCTTGTTTTGAAGAAGAAGCTGGGGGGACTCCAGGGATCCGAGGCGTAGGTGGGAGGGGGAATGGGAATGGAGGGAGGAATGGGAGGGTTGGTGGTGGCGGCGACGGCGATGGAGTGAAACCAGGTATAGGTGGCAGGTTGGGAATCAATGGTGCTGGACCTGCTGGTGGAGAACCTAGAAGAGGAGGCAAATTAGGAATTAATGGAGCTGGTGGGGGCTGAAATGGATTAGGGATAATTGGTGGAAAGAAAGTATCTGGATGGGCTAATTCTTTATTATCACCTAGTTGCCCATTCTTTGAAGTTTTGGAGTTGGACGACCCAGATGAAGTTTTTCCAGCAGCAAGGGGAGAACCTGGAATTCCAGGAAGTCCTGGGAGGCCTGGGAGGCCTGGGAGTCCAGGGAGGCCTGGAGGCCTGGGAGGCCTGGGAGGCCAGGGAGGCCTGGGAGACCTCCTGGGAGACCAGTTGGGGTGGGAGGGAGAGGAGGAAGCTGTGGCAGTGGTGGAAGATAAGGGATCCTAGGGACGGGGGGGAGATCAGGCATTGTGGGGTCCGCTTGAGAGGGGGATGGGAATGCCAGCTCATCAGTAGGAGGGAATGAGAACTTCTGGGAATTTAATTTCTTGGAATTCTGAATGCTGGGTTTCTGGTTGCATAAGCCGGGTTGCTTGAGAGGCTTGAAGGTGAAGAAACCAGCAGAGAATACGTGGGTCCCTTGCTTTCTTGCCTTGAGGTGTAGGGAAGATGAGGTGGCTGATGAGGCGACAGCACAGTAGGGTTCACTGCTGCTGATTAGTTTCACAGAGCATCCTTCAATTTTCTTCACTTGTTTGCTCACTGAGAAGGGCAGATGGACTTTGAATTGTCCATGGCTATTTGTTTTCACTTGTGCCTTAAAACTTGGTTTCGTTGAACTCCCATCTTTGCATTCCACATCAACAGAAGCCCCTGCACAAAAACCCCATCAGATTATTGATGTGTGGAGAATGCATTCATATGATGTCGGGACGTTTTGTTGACTGACAACGAAATCGACAAGTTACTGATGATATATCTGTTTGGCAACAATGATATCGACACATACAAATGATGTATCCTCCATAGTTTCTTTAAGAGAAATAATATCCCAACACTTATTGTCTATTGGAAATAAATTGTGATTGAAAGCAGAATGCTACTGTCAATAAGTTAGATTAGGTGAGATTTTGTTGTAATTTATTTGCGTTATTTACTTTTTCTCTTAGGAAATATCTGTATAAAGGGTTTACAATCAGCAGTAATGACATGTTTCATTCTGGCCAATTCTATCTCTCAGCAGTCACTTTATTAGATTTTACATTTTTTTTCCTTTTGTACACCTTTGTTTATTTCTTTCTTTTGATTTTTCTTTGATTTATTCAAATTTCAAAATTAAAAAGAAACATGAGAGTATGCAGGATGAGAGAAGGGGTGTATGGAAATCATTGAACAGACGTCTGTTCTATAGCCGGACTACAATATAAAAAGAAACTTGATGACGAACTTGTTCAAAATTTGAGATGAATTTACCTGAAATGAAATGGCTGGTATGTGAGAAATCCTCTTGGAAACATGAGTCACAGTAGACAGTGCCTACAACAACTGCAGAAGGATCGTTCTTCTCGTGGCTAGCCTCTGAAGGAGTATGAAATGTAAGAGTAGTAACCAGAAAGATAACTGTAAGCCAAGACATGTTTTAGAGCTTATGTATTCCCCCTCTAGGAAGCTTTCATATTCCTGACTCTAAGAATGAGTTGATACAGGCTGCCTTTTATACAATTACTGACGCCTTATAACTAATATAAATATTCTCTGTAAAATTAGACACTTTTTTAGCATAAAAAGAAAACACTGCTCAACTATTTTTTGCAATTCACGATACGTACGCAAAATTTACTCATTCAATTAACCGTGATTGACAGACAAATAAGGAATGACAGTTTTCGAAATTTATAGCCTGCGGTCCATCAAGCTTCATTATTTCACTCATGGAAAAACCAGTCAACTACAAACCAGAAGAAGTGAATGTAGCTAGGTTTCATTTCCTACCACCAAACCATACAAGAAAAAAAGGGTAATATTTGTGATGGTGGGCAAGTAGAAACAAAGAGGTCCCTAATTTTTGAGTTGCTGTGTGTTTTGTTTATTTTACATTTATTGAGGTTGTTTCTTTGTTGGTGTAAGAATGCCAAAGAGAATAGTTGGGTCCCCGTTGGTTCACGAGATAAGTAGAGTGACCACAAATTTCATGAGTATGAAGCTGTACACCGTCAGCAACAACAGGTTGCTGCATGTATTTATTCATGTTTTCTCTTCACATAGAAACAAATGATGCATGGGCGCCTACTACGTTGGTTAGAAACAGGTCTTGTGAGATTTTACCGTATAACTGAGGATCTCTCCTTGTATCTATCGCGTACAAATGATAAGCTCCTACTATATTGATTATAAACATAGATATATATAAACGAAAATATCTTAATTATAGATCTTAGACTTGATAAGAATTATAGATACAATGAGATATATTTGCGGTTGTCTCGGAGGACATAAATACATGTGAAAACTGAAACTCACAAAAACAAAAATGGCAACTTTCCATGGTGTCAGAATATGGTATTTGAGCAGGGAATAATTAAGATCTTATCATGACATAATAATGTGACATTAATAAGGGGCTTTATTTGTATGTTTGACCCCAAAGCTCTGGGATGTCTTCTACTTCTATGAAGGACACTTAACTGAATCATTAGCATCATTATTAAAAGAGAAATGCTATAGATATCCCTTTAAAGTGAGACTATGAATTCTTTGTTACTTCATAATTTAATGTCAATTTCTGTGCTAATATTAAAAAATATTGTATAAAAAATATAAGGTGACAAAAAGTTCATGAAAAATTTCATTTTTCAAAGAATTTCTTTAACATTTCTCTTATTAAAATTTGCTTTAAATTGTCCCCAGCAACTGACAAAGCAACAGTAAAAGGACAGAAAGTTTGGCCAATGTGATGATGTGTATAACATCCAAATTAGGGTTTGTCCGTACACTCGTGTTGGTGTTTGCACCAAGTTTCTTTTTCGAAATATCCTTTCCTACCCACAATCTGTTTATTTTGTCCATAATTCAATTTCCGCTTTGTGAGGAAACCTAAGGCTACTTCAACAATTCTCATTTTCCAATAACTGCTTGAAAGTTTAGTGAAAAACTTCTCTACTGACAAAAGGGAAACATTTCGTTGTCACCGAAAATATATTCTCGTCTAAAATATATTCTCGTCTAAAATATATTACTCATTACATAACTACAGTCTTTGTGTCCACAATCGTAACGTACCTTGTGACATGCAAGAAATATTCCCCCACATGACAAGGGCACAACTCCAGAATAGTACTGTCAAATGGATCTGCACTGGAATTGACAGATTGTCTGCACAAAGTTTTGCATTGAGCTGCTCACAAACCCACAAACCTGTGCCGTTTCATTATTTGTCCGTGTTGCAATTTTTGACAACGTAAGGCGGTTCTTGAATGTCCAAGTTTTATCTACGACAACCACAAGCCTATCTGTCCCCACTGCTATCTTGTGATGAAATGTTTTTCTTTTATACAGTTAAAAATGGGTGGCAATTCAGTAGTGTTTGATTTATCTATATTTGTGTTCGTATCTACTCACAGTTGATCGATGTACAAAAAATTCATATTTATTGAATAAAATCGAGAAGTTTTCATCTTACTAATATAATAAGATGTAAACGGTGTTGATTGTTTACTAGCATTGACGTGTTGTATCTGAAATTGTTGAGATAGGATCCTCACCGGATCCTTTTTGTGAGGATCCCGGAAACTCTTTAATCATATTTTTTCATTGTATATCGTGCAGTCAGAAATTATTTTAAATTATATAATTTAAAATTGAATACAAACAGTTAACAAAAACTAACCGTACAATATACGATAAATGAATAGAATTAAAAAATTTTCAAAATTCTTATAAAAAGGATTCGACGAAAACCATATCTCGAAATTGTTAGTGAAGTAATAATGCATGTCGAAGTTAAAAAAGGATGCTTTTGTCCAATTCGCTGTCATCACGGGTTCCAAGACGTCATGTCTTCTCCTCACGGGCGAGTTAAGCCTTGTGGGGGAGTGAGATGGGCGCTAGGTTTAAGGACGTTTTCAGGTCTCACCAATTTTCAAATGGTGTCAAATTTGAAACATATAAGATAATACTGTTTATTGTAATTTATTTATCTTCTGATTGGGTGGTCTATTATTATTGGAACTATAATCTACATGTCACACTTGAAATATGGCATTTTCTCATTCTATGAGTGAATTTATGCATATTTATAGTTGTAGGGATGTAGCCGAGCTATTGAGAATAAGAAAGAGAGCTATTATTAACATTTTAAAATAATTATCATGAACCAGTAGTGTAGTTAGGATTTCCAAATAATAGAGTCATAATATCAACCAAAAAAGCTTCATTGGGCCATTTTGTCGAGCACCTAATAATCACCTGTCAATTCTTGTCAATATATGCCAAAAATGTATGCCATCATATGTCGAAAACGATGCAGGATATAATGGAGTAATGTTGAAGACTACCAAAACTTTTCAGCTAAAGTATTTCATACAAGAAGAAGAGAGAAAAGGAAGACTAATATGAAAGAAGAAAATAGAAGATGTAGAAGGAGGAAGTTGTAATTTAGTTTGACTTAACTATTTATAGGTGTCAAATACAATATACAAACAAATATACATAGGGTTTTTAAGTAATTGTTAGGGTCAAGAACAACCAATGACCCTATGCTGATTTCGACACTGTCATAAACTCCCTTCATGATAACATATTGTGACTTTCTGTGCACTGAAGCATAAATGTTGTGAGATACCACATCGCCCAAGTGAGTGGATCCTCTATGCCTTATATGTATATTTCTATCTTTACCTAGCACGAGGCCTTTTGGGAGCTCACTAGCTTCGGGTTCCGTAGGAACTCTGAAGTTAAGCGAGTTTGTGCGAGAGCAATCCCAGGATGGGTGACCCACTGGGAAGTTCTCGTGTGAGTTCCCAAAAACAAAACCATGAGGGCGTGGTTGGGGTCTAAAGCGGACAATATCGTGCTACGGTGGAGTCGAACTTGGAATGTGATAGGGATCCGGGCCAGGATGTGACAAATGTAATAAATAAGAGTATAAAATTTTGCTTCTTTAAATTTCACCCGTTCGTTAATGCAACGCAATGTATGGTAGATTCTCAAGGAGTTTTAGATCACTGTAAATGTATAGTGTACCCCATACATGTATTGCCTCAGGCAGGGCTGGAGGTTAGTTATGTAAGAATTATTATTGCCCAAATACCATTATCCACATGCATCAATCCCCAAGCCCACCAAGAGACTTCGGAAGACAAAACTAGCTCCATTTAACCAAGTTAACTTTAGTTTTGGATTGAGTGGAGCCGCATATGAAATTCTTATTCAACCTGTCAAGTTGATCACAAATGGTAATTGGTAAATTCCATTGTCTACATGGGATATAGCGAAGGTGACAAACTGAACAAGAGTGGCCCAACCAGCAAAGAGATAACGAATTCATCTTCCTAACAGAAAGTCAAGCTTAAGCCTTTTCTATCAGGCCTTTTTAAGTGTTTTCAGTGATGCAAGAATCAATGAGACCAGGGCTTTGAAGAAGTGGCAAATTTGATCCAGGAAGAACAGAGAGATCCCGAGAAAATAAGCATAAAATTTTACATTGGCTACTCATTAAGTTAAAATCATAGCAGGTGGCTAAAGTGAAATGATTTTGTGAAAACAATCCAAAACCCCCTAGTCACAAAATTATTCTCCAGAACCCAAAACCCTAGTCACAAAATCATTACCCTACTACTCAGTTGAAATAGGAGTTGAAGTCGGTCGGGAAACAGGAAAGGGTATGTGATATGGCTTGTCGCGCTCGAAGAAGATGACCTAATTCTGAGACGTTGTCGTCCGTACAACTATTGGGCTCCTTTTAATGAAACGGTTCATAACTTCATTTCATTGGTCTTTTAACAAGTTTCTCAATGGCTCGTATAGTAAAGCATGACCATCGACCCACTTCTGTTTTTCTTCTCTCGGCAAAGGTTACCCAACCAACAACTATATCCTTTTTCATCGTTGGTTAATATTCAATTATAATATTATTTTATCTTTGAATCCCTGCTTCTCTCCGGACTAGTGAGAAGTTATACTGAATCAGTTTCAAAGTGGCATAGGAGACTCAAGCATCTCTTTCTTCAATTTGGGTTTGTGCATTTGTCTTTTTTCTACGATATAATCATATGTCTTGAACTAGTAAGTGTATCGTACTAAATCGCTGTACTCATATCTGTCTATGAACGAGACATGAAGTAATCACTTAACTGGGAATACCTTAACCTATCTTATATTGTGAATGAAACTACTTCTATGTATATAAACCCTACTCACTTGCTTCAAACTTTCTTTCATCTCTGTTTCCTTCCCTTGTATGTGTTTTGGAGAATGATGTTAGTAGTTGAAATGCATATATGGGGTTCAAAATTTATGGTATAATTGTATATATATGAGACTCTGATTTGTAGTTAAAATTATCTTATATACAAGGTAGTATTATGAAAATATTAGTGCAAAATCTCACCACAAATTGAGATTCTTTACACAGTAAATCAAGTGTGTCAGATGATGGGAACCATACCTTATTCCAAGTAAGGTAATGCTAAGAAGACCAAATTTTTAAAAGAAAATTAATGAAAAGGGCTTGAAAACTTTGAGTTTTAACGAAAATGACAAAATAAAGGGTAAAGTGAATAGTACCATGAATGACATTTTAGTGTAAAAATATGATTTTTCATTAAAGTTAACAGTACGGAGAGCTTTTCGTTAAAGTTCCCAAATTTTAAACCAAATTTTGTAAACCAAATGATGTGGTTGTTGATAATTAGATTATTAGTTAAGTATTGATTATCGTACTTATTTTCTATTAATAACATATCATTTGATTTGCGAATTTAATTTAAAATTTTAGTCGGCCTAGCACTACCATTACCTTTACAATAATTTTGTGTCCACCGCATGCTCATTACAAAAAGCACAAACATACAAACCCTACTATGTAAAACATATACTGTTCCGACACTTGCACAACCAACCATACAAGAACTTTTACATAATTAAAAACTTAAACAAACATGTAAAACACTATTTCGAAGGTAATTATACACGATTCGTAGTTAAATATAGTAATTAGCTTAAATCAAGGTGAATACTTTGTTTTGAAGAACAAGCTAGGGGATTCCGGGCATCCGATGCGCAGGTGAGACTGGGAATGGGAATGGAGGAGGAACGGGAGGGTTGGAGGTGGCGGTGACGGTCATAAAGTGAAACTAGATGAGACCCATTCTGAAAGAGGCAGAAGTAGAGAGAAAAGGGGAAGAGTACATGTAACACTAAAACATTCAACATTTCATTCATAATTCTCAGATGAGTAGGAAGAGACCTAAATACATAGAAGTTCAGGAAACTACAACTCAGAATACCTTAATGGGCTTATTATACTTAAACGGGTAGCACCCAATAGGATAGGAACCCAACAGGAACCAGGTATAGGAGGCACGTTTACGGGAATCATGGTGCTGAAACTGCTGGTGGAGAATCTAGATGGGTTACTTCTTTATTATCACCTAGTTGCCCATTCTTTGAAGTTTTGCAGTTGCAGGACCCACATGAAGGTTTTCCACAAACATGGGGCAAACCTGGAGTTCCAGGAAGTCCTGGGAGACCTGGGAGGCCTGGGAGTCCTGGGAGACCTGGGAGACCTGGGAGGCCAGGAAGACCTGTAACTGGGACGCCTGGAAGACCTGTGCCTGGGAGGCCTGGGAGACCTGGGAGACCTGGTAGTCCTGGGAGTCCTGGGAGATCGTTTGGGATGAGAGGGAGATCGGGCATTGTGGGGTCCACCTGAGAGGGGGATGGGAACGCCATCACATCAGTAGGAGGGAATGAGAACTTCTGGGAATTAATTTTTTGGAATTCTGAATGCTGGGTTTCCGGTTGCATAAGCTGGGTTGCTTGGGAGGCTTGAAGGTGAAGAAACCAGCAGAGAATATGTGTGTCCCTTGCTTTCTTGCCTTGAGATGTAGGGAAGATGAAGTAGCTGATGATGCCACAGCACAGTAGGGTTCACTGCTGCTGATTAGTTTCACGGAGCATCCTTCAATTTTCTTGACATGTTTACTCACTGAGAAGGGCAGTTGGACCTTGAATTGTCCATGGCTATTTGTTTTCACTTCTGCCTTGAAACTTGGTTTTGTTGAACTCCCATCTTTGCATTCCACACCAACAGATGCCCCTGCACAGAAACCCCACCAGATTACTGATATTGTGGATAATGCATGCATAACATGTTGGGACCTTTTGTTGACTAACAATAAAATCGAAGATACTGATAACATACATACTTGGTGACAATGATATCAACACATACAAATGACATATCCTCCAACTTTTCTTCAAGAGAAATAATATCCCTACACTCGTTGTCTGTTGGAAAGAAATCGTGATTGAAAGCAGAGTCTTACCGCCAAGGAATTAGGCGAGCTTTTTTGTAATAGATTTGTTATTTACTTTTCATAGTTGTATAGTTGATTCATATATAGGAAATACTTGTATAAAGGTTTCCAGTCATTTTCTTGGATTTTACCCCTTTTTTTTTTCATTTTGTACCCTTTTTATTTCTTTCTTTTGATTTTCTTTGATTCATTCGAATTTAAAGATTACAAAATAAACATGAGTGTATGGAGGAGAAGGTGTACGGAAATCATTGAACGGACTTTTGTTGTACAGCCAAACTACAATATAAAAATAAATTTGATGAAGAACTTGTTGAAATTTTGAGATTAATTTACCTGAAATGAAATGGCTGGTATGTGAAAAATCCTCTTGGAAACATGTGTCACAGTAGACAGTGCCTACAGCAACTGCAGAAGGATCGTTCTCATGGCTAGCCTCTGAAGGAGTATGAAATGTAAGAGCAGTAACAAGAAAGATAACTGTTAAAAACCAAGACATGGTTTTAGAGCCTATCTATTCCCCCTCTAAGAAGCTCTGATATTCTTGACTCAAAGAATGAGTTGATACAGGTTGCTTTTTAGTTATATCAAATGCTGAGGTCTTATTATAACTAATGTAAATATTCTCTGTAGGATTATACACACTTTAGATGTACGCAAAATTAACTCATCAAACTGATTGTGATTGACAGACAAATAAGGAACGACTATTTTCGAATATTATATAGCCTGGGGTCCATCGAGCTACAGTATTACACTCATGGAAAAACCAGTCAACTGCAAATCAGAAGAAGTTAATGTAGCTAGGTTTCATTTCCTACCACCAAACCATACAAGAAAAAAAAGGTAATATTTGTGATGGTGGGCAAGTAGATAAAAAGAGGTCCCCAATTTTTGTGTTCCTGTGTGTTTCGTTGTTGTTTCTTTGTTGGTGTGAGAACGCCAAGGGAATACTTGGGTCCCGGTTAGTTGAGAAACTTGAATAAAAAAACTGATTTTTTTTTTCCTAACTAATTGTATTAATAGTGTTTGTATCTACTTACAGGTTGATCAATATACACAACTCATAATAATTATTGAATAAAAGAAAGAAGTTTTCATTTTACTAACGTAATAAGAATGTTGACTGTTTACTTGTATTGATGTTTTGTGTTCGACATAGTCAGTGAAGATAGAATGCATGGGATGCTTTTACTCACAAAAAAAAAGAGAAGGGACGGTTTCGTCCAATTTCCTGTCATTCACAAAAGACATGTCTTCTCATCACGGGCGAGTTTAAGCCTGCCTTGCGTGGGGAGCGAGGTTCAAGGACTTTTTCATGTCTCACCAATTTCCAAATGGTGACATATGGCATTTTCCCATTCTGTGTGAGTGAATATTTTAAGATTGTAGGATGTACCAGACCTAAGAATAAGAAAGAGGATTGTTATTAACACTTTAAAGTAATTATCATGAACTCCTCGTAAATAATATCGAGACCTGCATTGGCGAAGCCACAGAGGTGCAAGGAGGTGTGTTCGCACCTCCGGTCGCCGGAGTTCGTTCCCAAAATCCAGGTTTCCACCCCTCTGCTCTGGTGCTGCGGTGCTGCATTTTGGTTTTCTGCAGTGGGGCGTTGCTCCGTTTTAGTTTTTTTTTTTTATTTTTTTTTTAACAAAACCACGTCGCTTTACACTTGAGAAAAACAAAAAAGTTAAATGAAACGAGTCCAACGACGTTGTTTCGTTACAAGGAGTTCATTATGTTTTTTCATAGAGGCTACTTTTTCTACAGCTCCTGCCGGTTCAAGTATGCTCCCTTTTTCCCCAAACACGTCCTGCAACAGAAGCACACGAGCTAATTAAAATACAACCTAAAACTAGCTAGTAGAATTGGAATCGCTAATATTGTTAAAGTAAAAGGTATTTAAAAAATAAAAAACGATTGAAACTTTGATCTGAAGAAGAAGAAAACGATGGAGGAAGGAAATGTTAGAGAATAATTAACACTAATAACTAGTTAATTAGTTAATTATATGAAAGCAACATGAATTTTTCATGGCAGAAGAGAAGACCATGCATGTTACCTCTGCAATGTTGATTTGTAATTTTCCTGTAGTGGTGCGAGCAACCTTTTTCTCCTTGAGTCGTCCGAGCCTACAATTGCAATGTCTAATATTATATCACCCGGCTCCTCACCTGTCTTCTAAATACCCTATCACCACAAGGGTTTAAATCCGAAATTTTTTTTTAAGTCATGAGCTATTACAAATACCCTATCACCACGAAGATCATATCTAATTAAGCCAAATAGGGGGCTTTTAGTGACCTTAGTTGAACATGAGAACTATTTAATTGATGTGCATGTGATATAATCGTTGACCTAATGATGATATTGTGTTTATTGACTTGTTAGCTGTGTTTGTAATCCTTTTGCTATGTGGTTTTGCTGTGGGGAAGGAACGTACAAATTAACATCCCTACTCCTTTTCAGCCTATGTACAAACATCCTTACTCCTTTTCAGCCTATGACACATCCCTATGTGGTTTTGTTTGTAAATTTTCATGGAATTTCTAATCACGTTAAATGTATAGTGTAAAGCAGTAATTTTCAACTGTACAATAATACATGAGATGTTTTTCCATCACAGGGAGTTGTCAATTTTCAAATGAGGAAGACAATAATTGGACTGAAGTCTGAAGTGGTATTATTCAAAGCAGAAGCCTGCCCCTTCATTCAATAAGGGACCAAGTTATAAGTTTATGATACAACGTATCCTTGTCCTTCTATATAAAAAATTAATTTGGAAAAAAAAATTATTTGGTCTGCCAGGCTGATAGGAGCATATTCATGCGACTTAAATGGCTTGTTCTCGTGCATTTACGTTATGTTTCTTTAGTTATTTTAGTACTTTAGCTATTTTCATGTGTTTGTAGGTCCAAAGGGCTAAAGGAGCAAAAAGATGCATTTTGGAGACTTTTGGAGCACTTTTGGGCTAAGGATGGATAGCTTATGCTTGGAGCCAAAGTGTTGGACGAAATTATTGAAGACCAAAGTGTTGGAACCTTGTTCCCTTTAGTTTTAGGACATTTAAACCTTTCCTATATCCTTAGCCGTGCATAACATACCAACATTCCACTCCTTCATTTCAGCCACACTCCCACATATCATTACTTATCATCACCACTTATCACTTATCAAACCATTCACTTATCACTTATCAAATCATTCACTTATCACTTAACAAACCATTCACTTATCACTTATCAAACCATTCACATATCACTTATCAAATCATTCACTTATCACTTATCATAACCATTCACTTATCACTTATCATAACCATAACCATGCATTTCCAACCTAATCACTCACCCACACAATCTTCCATCATTCACACAAACATCATCATTGCACATCAACACATTCCAACACTCCCACATGCATTCATCATCATTCACCCTAGCTTTAATTCACATGCTTTCCCAATAAATAAAACAGCCATTCCACATGCATTTCCAACCCACATGCACCCTTTAATCATTTAACCTAGCTGTCATTGCACATGCATTCATCATCATAAACAATCAGCCATTCCACATGCATTTCCACCCACATGCTTCATAATCATTCAACCAACTTTGCACATGCATTCATCATCACAACCTAGCTGTCATATTCCCTCTTTTCTTCCTTCATTCACCTATAAATAAGCATCCATTGCATTCATTAACATTCATTCTTCCATACACATTTCAGTCACAAACACCAACCATTCCCTTGTGCCATGCTCTCTCCCTAATAATCCAAACACCACACCAGAAATCATCCCATTGCCGTGGCCTCCTCCTTCCATTTTCACCACTCCCCAAACCATTCACACCATCAAACTATCCATTAGACCTTGTGCTACAACGAAGAGGAAGATAAGAGGGCCTAAACGTTCATACAATTCAAGTTTGAGTTGTTGGAATGTTTAGGTGTTTCTTTGATTTCAATGTTTAATTTCAATACTCTTTGTTTTGTACGAATGAGGAATGGAAGAGAAGAGGGCCTAAACGTTCATACAATTTAAGTTTGAGTTGTTGGAATGTTTAGGTGTTTCTTTGATTCTCTTTGTTTTGTATCATGAGGAACTAAACCCCCCTTGGCTAGGGGGGGATTCGAAATATATGTTTATGCTTGCGTTTTGATTTGATTACTTCTAATTGCATTTCATAAGTCGTGGATTCAATTTGTTTACCTGTTTGATTGATAACTTATTTATGTATGTTTATTGAGAGTGCACGCTTAATTTTCATGCATGAATATGACGCTAGAATATAAGTGAGTTTCACCTAATAGTTACGAACTTATATTCACAAGTAGTGGAGGTTGCTTATAAACAATCGCGTTAAACGAATTCTTGGCATAAGTTTCATGCAATCATAGTAACGAATGCCTCGTCAACACTTATAATTTTCATAGAGCGTAATGATTCTTGCTTGTATCTCTATTATGCAATCATGTAGGGGACTTGTGGGAAATGTTTTGGGTTGTCGTATGCAATCATCCAATTCAATAACGTTAGGAAGATTTGAAGGTTAATTTAAGCGGACCTAATTAACCCGGGGTGATGAGTTTCATAATTTATTGAAATGCAATTGGAAATCTTTTTATTATGCAAGTGTAACATGTGTGGAGATGAACCCCTTGGCTAGCATCCATTCATTCCATTTCATCAATTTCATATTTACATTCTGTCTAGTTTATTAACTTGTTTCGTTATTTCAATTTTCCTCCAAAACAAATCCCCCTTTAATTTGAAGTCTTAGATTAGTTAGAAAGTGTTTTGATTTGTGTTTCTAAGTATTTTGATTCAAGTTTTCATCCAATTTCGTCCAAATTAGTGTAGGTGCTCAAAACTGCCCAGAAAGTGGTTTTTAGGTAGTTTTGAGTCTTCTAGTTGCTGTTTTGGGTTTTAGGTTTGTTTAAGTGTTTTAACTTTTAGTTTTGCATTCTTTGAGTCTAGTTTAGTGTTAAAGTGTCTTAATTTGTGTTTTAAAGTGTTTTGAATCAACCTTTAATCTTAAATTCGTCCAAATTTGTGTTTAAGGTCAGAACCTGCCTAGTTAGTGTTTTTAGGCAGTTTTGAGTCTTTTGAACCTGTTTTGAGTCCTTTGAGTCTTTGTGAACGTTTTTAACTTTGTTTTTATGTTTTTGAGTCAATTTAGAGGTTTTAGCAAGCCCTCCTAATCCCCGGTCTAGAACGATCCCTACTTGCATCCTTACTACAATTTGACAAC